CATTGTTCAGCGCAATAATGAATGGAATCAAATTTAGTATCATATTATCTTATTTTGAAGGTCATAGACTCAGCTTCAAACGGTTTAACGTCAGGTGGAAAGTCGAAATCAATATATAGGGTATATTGGGGGCAGAGAAATGGAAGAGCTGATTGCATTAATTTTTAACATTGTTTAGATATACTTGAGAACTTATTTTCAAGCAATTTTATAAATATATAAATATAAACATACATACATATATGGAGTAAAGTCAGCCGGATGTTTCAAAATCCTGAACATCAGTTATATGGGGGCTAAGCAAGTTTTCGCCCGATTTAATCTATTTTAGGCACAAGGATAGACTGTTATAAAAAAAACACACTGTCTCAATTTCATTAAAATAGCTCCCACATTGGCCGATATATGTGGTATAAAGTCGATAGAAGTTGGAAAGTCTTTATACTAGGTATATGGGGCAAAGGGAAGTATTGATCCGACTCAACCCATTTTTGACACAAGGATATATTATTATCAAGGAACAAGAGGACGGGACCACGGACACTTTTTTCAAAGTTTGAGTCCACAGGTGCCTCTCGCTACTGCAATTCCCTGTACCAAATTACATTTTTATATCTTAATTTATTGCTTAGTTATGGCATTTTATAGGATTTCAATTAATGGCGTTTTGTGGGCATGGCAATGGTCCGATTGCGTCCATCTACAAACTCGTGTCACCTTTTTACCAAGGAACACATATATTAACTTTCATTTAGATATCTTATCATTTTACTCAAGTTATCGCTTGCATAGACGGACGGATAGTCACTTGGATTTTAACTCTTCTCATCATCATGATCATTTATATATATATAACCCTATATCTAACTCGATACAAACAACCATTAAGTGAATAAAACTATTATACCCTGTAGCAACATGTTGTAAGAGTATAACAAGTATGGACTACAGTTCTACAGCATAAAATTCAAAAATTTTTTATGGATTTTAAAAACGTTACTATTTTCAGCATAAAACGTAGTCACCAGTTTTACAAGAAAACTCAAATCAATAATTCAAAGAAATATTTTACTCAGAAACATACTGTAGCAGTAAGAACTCAAGTACGTTTAGAGAAATAGCTCTAGATCGATCGTGCTCAAAACTCAATTCGTTAATTTCATACAAATTAAATTTGGTTAACCAACAAATACTATCAAACATATAAGCATATTCCATCGTTAAGAGAGCCCAGTATAGCGCCTGCTCACTCTGACTATAGTTCACTCAAGCGAGTATTCACACTAAATTTCTCGCAAAGTGTGTGCTGGAAAATTGTTCCTGCTTTTCCATGTTGTGCACTTCCGGTGCGTGTTGGCATACAAAAGCCAACTGTTGAACGACAACGTTGCCACTTGTGCAAGTAATTATCGAGTAAAATTCTTTTTACTTTTGTATTATTCCGATCAACCCTGATCAAATGATTTACAAACTCTTCCACCTAAAATCAAAGAATGGTTAATAACCCCGTAAGTAGAAATATAAGGTATAAATCACATCGAACCAGAAAAATAAACTGAATATTTTTAATAAAATCTTGTGCCGAATTGCATTCCCTGAAAATACTTGTATGTTCCAGATATTTTTATATGTACATTATCTAGTGTTCTGATTATTCTGAAATATTTATGCAGTTTGGTATTCCATCATCTTAAGTTTAGAGTTTGTGAGAAAATAGTGAGTAAATAAATGCCAGCGATTGTGAATGGAGGTCGTTATATGCTTGTACCTAATGGGTTTATGTATGAACTCAAACGTGTTTATAGTGAGGTATTCTAAGAATTCATACACGATTTCTAAAAAACTAATGAATCAGCATTGCCAACGGAAACATTTGTTACTTATTTACCAACAGATCAAATAAATTAAAACACACTTGTCATAATCATAAGTTAAAGGTATACATGTACATTAGAGCGTTGATTTACAGGGATCCAAAAAAACGGAAAAATCGCGTATGCGGGAAATGTTCTACGGATCATTCTGAACAACGCTGCCTAAGAGAATATGGGTCGAAACCCATAATCGCGCGATTTTTTAGATGAAGTTTAATTTTTCGAGATATCTGAATGAAATTTAATACATAGGTGCATTTTGTGATTCTATTGATCATTTGTCGGAATCAGCCAGATCGGACAACTATATCACATATCTCCCATACAAGCGATTATGCAGTTATTTAATTTTCCGGTTGCCTGCATTTATTAGCAAAGCTATGGGCACGTAATTTTGCAAAACTTTAAACTTTTTAATATATCGAACAAATTTAACCAAACCAACTTAACTCACCTGGCTTATCAAAAATTAAAATACAAATTGAGGAAGGTAAGTTACCACCGGAATAACATAAGAACTCTTTCCAAAACAATTCAGAGTATTATATTAAACGGTTTGAAAAAACTCAAATCTTAACAGTGAGTTCAGTGAGTTATGGAAGTGACCATCAAAAACGAATAAACTTGACCACTACCACTGTGTCATTGCATATTCTTAACCCAACAATGTATTACTTTCCCATTGCTGGTGGCACCAAAACTCCTCAGTAACTCGTTCATAACGATTTGACAAAAGGAAAGTGTAACAGTTGCTACAACAAAGTACTCATCCATTACCGCATGTGTTGCACATAAAATTAATGATATTCTACTTTTCGAACGGCTGCAGCAATTAATTGCTATTTTTTTCGTCTACACAGTTCTTCTGAAATGTTTAGAAAGTTATCTATTTAGCTGAAGAATCGCCTCTAATATGCAAACACATATACATATATAATATGTTACAAAAATATATACGAGTATATACATATGAAAGTATTGATGAAGATGAAACACGTTTTCTGTTGACATTTACGAGCAATTAGAATAAAGTTAAAATTAATGAACTATGAACTATTGAGATATTTAAATGCTTGAAAAAGTCTTAGTCGTTATTCAATGATTCAAATGCGATCCATTCAAGAGATTTGCTATGCGTACTGGCTTGTGTGGAGATCATTATTGTCAAATCAACAAACACTCTACTGAGTTTATGAGTACAAACAAAACAAGTAAACAAGGGCTAAGTGGAAATACCTTCGGGGCTTGGCAAAACTTTATATTAAACAATATGGCGAAAGAATGCAACATTCATTGTTGGACGAAATCGTGAATGCAATTTGTATCTTACTTATATGATAGGTCATATACCCACTTAATTTAATTGCCATATTTTACTTCTAGTCAGAAAAAATTATATAAAAATCATCTTCAAATGAGATGTACCTGACATTTAAGTCAACTGGAAATTCGAAAATCTTTATATTAGGTATATGGGGGGTTGAACCCATTTTTGACACAAGGCTATATTCAAAGAAACATTCTCCCCGCATTTTAATAATACATATTTATGTATATATTAATTTATGCTTGATTTGTATACGGAAATTTAAACTTAACTTATATGGGAAGTAGGCGTGGTAGTAGTCCGTTTGCCCACTTTTATACTATAACCCCACCTTTACCATCCTAGGTGTAAATTTTAATGTCTCTGGCGTGTTTAGTATTTGATTTTTAGTAGTTTTTAAAGTAACAGTTATATGGGGAGCGGGCTAGGTTATCATCCGATTTCTCCTATTTTCACGCTGTCTTAAGAGTTGTCGAAAATATTTATCCCCTGGAAATTTGGTTGTTATAGCTTCAATGATCTGAGAGATATATACATTAAAACTATTAGGGGGCAGGGCTAAGCCCACTTTTTCAAAATTAAAACCACAGATACTTCTCCCTAATTAAATTCTTTGTACCAAATTTGCAATTTTTACAATTGCTGGTTATGCCCATCTGCAATACTAGCCTTCTTACGGTACCAAGAAAAATGGGTAAAAAGTTTCATCAAGATATCTCAATTTTTACCCAAGTTACAGCTTACACAGACAGACAGTCACCCGGAATTCATCTCGTCTCGTCATCCTGATCATTTATATATATATAACACTATAACTATCGCGATTAGTTTTAGGTGATACAAACAACCGTTAGGTAAACAAAACTATTATTTTTGTAGCAACAGGTTACAAGAATATAACAACAACGACTGGGTCCAACAACTGAGTTTAGTAGGACTGCCGTTTGTTATGTGAGAAATGAACTGGGTCCGACGGCTAACCTTGAACTTATTCAACATCGCAGTCTAATCGCTTTGCCAATGTAAAGTAACAACAGTAATAACGACAGCTTAGCCTAAAACGAGAACCAGCCAAAAAAAAAACTCAATTGCGGCGATATTTATAACGGTGATACTGAGAGGAATAATAATAATATCAACACAAGTAGCCAAATTAAAAGCCGTCGCAATTGCCATTTTTATGCAAATGTGTCTCAAACATTTCAAAATTAACATGCTTCAGCAATTATTAGGTAAGCAGAAAGAATGTATCTCTATTATATCTGCTATCATATGTTTCGTTTTGTTGCCACTTTGATTAAAACAACAAAAACTACTCTCCTCCTTGAATTATTCAAATGCACATCAAGTGCATATTCTTGCCTTCCAATGCATGCATACTTATACATATAAATATATACACAGAATACGGTTAAAAACCTTTATATGTGATTTGCGCAATTTTTAGGAGTGTTCCGGTTTGTTGGCTGATACATCAACAAATGACATTTTCTGTAAGCAAAATATTGTACGAGTATATACATACATATGTACGTATGAATAGCGGAAACCCGCTCATACTAAAGCTGCTTCCACTTGTCATTCAGGGTTTTATGACTTTACATAACTGAAAATATGATTAATTTTCAAAAATCGAATATTTTAATAATCAGGGCTAGATAAGCTCCTATCGTCAAAAAACAGTTTTTACAATTTAAGTATATTTTTTTAATTATTATTGGCAAAGGTAAACCTTTACAATAACGCAATGTAATGATCATAATATGAACATGTGTAAGTATGTAGCTATAAAAACTTACCTCGGCATACAATTTGGTGGTGTGCGATCCACTTCCCAAGCAGCAAATAATTTCATTGGCACCGGCTTCTGACCGTTTTGACTGCCAACACCGGTGTGCAATAGACCACTAGCACCAGCAGTAAAACCACTGTTGACACCACTCCCACCTCCACCACTTCCTCCTGCACCGGTGCCACTTACGCCCATGTTGGCGCTAAATTTATCCAATTTGGATGATTTATCTACCATTTTCATTAGGCCGGACTTTCGGTCTGTTACACGGGAGAAGGAAATTTTTGATTGGCGAGTTGCAATTGCAACAGCCTTGTCGCGTCGCGACACGTGTTATAATTTGTTGCTCGGTTATTTCAGCGTATTAAATGTTTGATTTAATTTGTTATATGCAAATATACAATTTTTATTTTTTCTTTAATCCGTATTTCGACGCTTTGTTCTTGTTTCTTTAGAGTGCATACTCGGCCTCCAAAGTTATATTTTCACTATTTCACTAAGCTATGCACCACATCTTATAAGTTGTATATATGTAATTTTATTATCTTATAAATGTTGTTACTTATGTGTTATCTTTTTCGTCTTGCCGATCTGAAACATTCAATTGGTATTTTAATAAATATTTTTTACACTTTACTGGCTAAATTTTTAGAAATATTTGTTTCTAAGATATTACCAAAAAAGCAATATTTTAAAAACGTCACAAGGCAACATCAAAAAAGTATTGGCGACACAGGTATCTATTTAACTGGGCGTGTCGCTCCCCCATAAATAACTGAAACAATTTGGTACTGTTTTTCTATCAAAGACATCCTTAAAAATTTCCAAAAGTGAATTTAGGAAGATATTTAATATTTTCTACCGTAAATTATTTACAAGCTTAAATCAAATTTTGTATATAAATATTTTGACAATCTCTCTCAATTTGAATCTTTGTTTATACGCACTTTCGGTAAGAACACTGCACATTGATTCCTTCTGAATTTCATTTATTGGATGTATCTCGCAAACATCCCCGCTTCACTTCACATGCACATTCATTGGTAACTACATGCACACCACCATTATACAACACCCACTGTGCATTTTGCTATCTCTATAACCACATATTTAATATGGATTCTGCACATTATTGCTTATATTGTTTTCTTATGCATTCATATTTTTTAAATAACTACTATGTAAACCAAAAGATAGTTTGCGTTTACATATTTATGGATTTCACTGAGATTCACTCGATATTTGCACACAATTTGTGGTCTCTACTGTATATTTTCCAATAAGATTAGTTGTAGCGCAACTTGATGTTGCGCTTGGGCGCTGGTTTAAGTTACGCTGCTCACCGTAGATACTTCTTTAGCGCTCCAAAGTCGATGTAAAACTTGCTTTTATTTTCTGTTAGGCCTCGCAAAAATATCCCACTACAGATACACAAATACCGAGGGGTTGCCAGAGTAGTAAGAAATAGCAAGCACAGAGGAACAGTTACAAGAATTTTCCAAAAGTTATGCACATCAAATTTAATATTTTATGGATTTGGTATAGATATTTATTATTATTCAGCATATTTATTCTGTTGTAATAAACATAGTCGAATAATTAAGAAGCGACTGCAATATTTTACTCTAAAAATGATACGACAAAAAAAAATTGTGTAGCAACCACAGCTGGAAGTCGTGGTGAATTGCAACCGGCAGTCTTGCAGATAAATTGGCCCCACTTGAATTTCCATTTTCAACAGAAGGGAAGTGGCATAGAGAGAATGACCCACAACTGGAAAAACACTCAACTTCAAGTTAACAACAAATTTTTGGCACATTTATTGACATTAATGAATATATTTTTATTTACACTTCATATCATTCACATTTATAAAACTCAAATAATAACTTCCATTTAACTATGAGAGTCCACTCAAATTTATTTCACGAACTACGCCAAGGATGACACAAGAGATGAATATATCCCTGGATAACACTGCCAAGCAAACAATTTCAAACTGAATATCAGAGATATTATCCCTGCTGAATATCCATTATACTTTTGCTTATTTGCTCAAAAGGTAGAATGTCATAATCTCTCTGCACATGTGTCAGAGGCGTTGCCATTTTGATCCGATCGGAACGAAATTGGTAGTTTCATTTGTCTGTGGTGTTTGGTTGGCAGAAGGTATGACAGAGAATGTAAAATAATGTCGTTTGAGCATTATAAATATACGAATCTGTAAGCGTACATTTCTTAACGTTGAAATTAGCACTGAAAATGCTCAATTCTGCTATTTTTCAGTATCCTGATGTTAATTGTGGCCAATAATTTTCTGTGGTGAAACACGCTCATCGTTTTCAGTACCCCTGCGAAAAGTGAAATATTTTAATAATGGCCGCACTGTGAACCATCTCTATAATCTATATATTTGGTATAACAATATACCTCCGCAGTAAGCGAACGGAATGATATGATGATGATGACATATTATACATTTTCAAAATGTCAAACACGAAATTGACAAGCTTTTTTAGCGATTAGAGCTCTCCTGGAAAAAAAAAACATTTTTTAGGGAGTATTTAAACACATTCGATTGGATTGAGGAAAATTAAGCACGGCCATTAAATGTACTTAAATTTAGTTGACCTGTAAGATTTATTTGTACATATATGCATATTTGTCCAGGTGTGAATTGAAATAAAGCCCAATGGTTTGATGATAAAAAATTTGGTAGTTTTGCAACAGATTTGGTAGGCATTTTTGTACTCAAGGATTTACTCAAGTGGCAACTGGTCAGAGAACGTAAATATGATATACGTTCTCTGTATGTGTGATAATTCACCATGGAAAATGTTAAGCCAGAGAATGTTAATCATTAACTTCTTGTTTGAAAAAGTAGTCGGTATATAAAGCAGAGAACTTAATATATAATACAAACGGAGAAGATATTTCTTATATACTAATGAAAATTGAGTTTTTACAGTTTGAGAGTTTATTGGTACCTAGTTACCGGTACTGGTACCTAGTTAGCATATCAGAATATTGATTCTTATAAATAGCCTAATTGTAAGATATATGAAGTCTCAATTTGAATATTGCATATGCTAATATTATACAGATAACAACTATTGCTTGTGAAGACAGCAAATTATGCCTGAATGGTCACTGCAGAGAACGTATATTTTACGTTCTCTGGTCACTGGGTGGACAGAAATTTGTTAATTCGCTATACTGTTATCGTTGGAAATCAAAATGGCCTGCATAGGAAAAGGAAGCGTTACAATTCACACAAAATCTAGTTTTTGATAATAATTTTAAAATTACTTCCTTTCATATTGTTAACAAACGTAAATATAAAATGTATTTTTCCTTTCTTTTCTATATTACAATAAATAAGTATAAAATCGTGTATGTGCGAATTCAATTTCGCTCCCACTGCTCTCGTTCTGCACTCATATACTGGCTATCACTCCATCCACCGCTTTGAGATTCATCCAAATCCTTTTTAATGTCTTTGAGCGACTGTCTGGGGCCTTCATAGTGAAAATGTGATATACGTTGGCGTGTTCCCATATCTACTACGTAGTCCACGGCATTGATTTCGTGACTGGCGGTATTTTCAGTTGACGCGTTGGTTTCAATGGGTATATCCTTAAGGCACTGTTGCAAATGATTTATGTAGTTAATGGCAATACTGAAATGTAAATTCATTTTTATTAAGCAAATTTTACACAACTTGTGGTATAATTACTTTGAACGTACCGTAAACTTTCAATCTTCGAATACTTCTTGCCATTAGGCTTCGAAATAGGCAGTTTGGAACGAAGTAAATCGAACGCCCTGTTCATATCACGCATTCGTGTGCGTTCTCTATCACAGGCAGTCTTTTTGTAATCTGCGGCGGAATGAAGACTTATATTATCATATAATACATTCAACATATCGACTAAGTCTTCGATGATCTGGCTAAAATATGTCTACAGAATTGTTATAAGATCGTTTACTATATCCCGGTATATACAATTCTCGACTGAACGCATTTGAGTATTCCACATATATAAGTGAATAACAATTGTAATGCCTGTTGTGGAGAGTTCAAGTCGACGGAATCCACATCTCATCACAATGTCGGTTCCATGCGAAAAGCATTAAGAAATTTTTAATATAAAAAAGGTTAAAAAGTTAAAGGTTACATAATAATAAGAAATTAAATCACTAAAATAAGGACATACATACACATATATAGGTAAAATATTTTATGCAAATTATTTTGTTAAATTTCGAAGTGGAAAGTTTATGACTTTTTTAGATACAGTATTATAGATAAAAAATCATTTCATTGAGTAAAATTATTCAAATTTCGATATGATACTAATTACACACATTATTTGAAATTGATGAGGGAAGAATTTTATCACATTTTTCTCACCTTTCTCCAATTGCAGCGCCTTCTCTTTCCATGAGGGATTTGTTTCCTTGGATATGATGTGCTCGCGTGCATCGAGGTAACTGATACTAATCGGTGGTGGGACCACTTCCGCAACAGATTTTCCTTTCGGATCGGCAGCTACTGGCCATGTACTCACGGTCTGTGGAATTTGCGTTGGATAAACACTAGGCGTAATGGTGGATATCCCACTGGTAACAACCGCAGACGAAGCGCTTGTGGGTGGCTGCACTATTACATTTGGTGCTGGAGGTGGTGGTGTCAACGAGTTCTCATAATGAGTATACGGATTGTTATAAATCGGTGGTGAGAGGTGTGTAGTAACCATTGGCAGCAACTGCGGATCTGCGTTTGTATGCCCAGCGTAAGATACATAGTGCGAAGCAACCAAGTAGGCATTCCCACTCAGATGCATATCCAAAGGATACTCGGAATTGTAAACCGATGCCAAAACACTTGCGCTGACGGCCACTGGCTTCGGTGTAGTGCCAAGCTCCAATATTATTGGCTTTTCCGTTTCCGATTGATAAGAATCAACGTCCTCACAAACTTCCGTTGTGCGGGTGTTGACTTCAATCGTATTGGGCAAAAGTGCCGTCGGCACATCGTTCGCCCGGCCGCTTAGCAATTTATCAGACATTGCACGAACTTAATTTAGTATAAAGGCTAACTTGCTCTTGCACGAACACATTCATGTATACATATACATATATAGACCGAGGGGCACATGTATTACACACTAATCTTTTTGTTTTACTTTTAATTTTATTTATACATAGACACTTGTATGTAGTAACTGTTTTTATTCAGGCATATTCCGTGTCGCAATTCAAATGAAATTTCAATTATTGTTCTAACACGTCGCGTTCGCGCTTATAATCGTCCATCAGCGACAAATGTTTTCAGTAAAATGTCGCAAGATTTGAGATCGATTCATTATCGCACCTTCAAGATCACTTTCGTTTTTTAAGCGTTAAAAGTCGAGCTTAGGTTCTCTTCGCGAGGAATATGTGGCAGCGCACGAAATACATAACAACATATATGTATATGTATGTATGTCCGTATATGGCAACCAATGTGGCTGACACCACCTTTAATATCATACATATAAACCGATAAAAGCATGCTTATACGGTACATACACTTTGTACACAGGTACGCACATACATACATAGGTGCTTGGGTTTCATGTATTGGCGGGCTCTGCTCTGACTCCATTTTTAATATTTCATACTCCATTCAATATTCAATTTGGTTTAATAGGAATTAGTTTCATAAGTAGATATGATGGCTTAGCGTAAGTGCTTTCAGCGATGTCTGACGACCTGGGAGAAACACGGTACCCATCAGAAGAGTGTCAAATGAGGCTGAAAAAGACTTGTACTAAAAAATTATAATTATAGAAAGAGTTGGATTCGGTTTGAACCTACATATACCAGCCCCTCACATTGAAGAACTATAATGTGATAATGAAGCGAAACGTTACCAACGCCTCCTCCCATTTGTGATGAGCACTATTTAACGGAAAGCTTATGTATGGTAGAAACACGATCAGAGGTTTGCTATTTGCCCTCCGAAGAGACTGACTATAACTACTATAGATTGCCCTCGAAGATAATAAATATTATCGAGGATGGATAGAAATAAAAATGTTCGGATTATACCAAATTTAGGATATATGTATGTCCTAAACTGTAAGTTTAAATTTTCAGTGTTACTTTTTGAACACTAATCCAAACTAACTGCTTTTGCGGGACGTACAATAACAACATACCTAGTCGTCAAGCACATATTCCAGGCTTTGAAAAAATATCTAAATTATAGATGCAGCAATCGTGTGCAAGATCGACCGAACAGGCATTCAGAGAGAGAGAATTTTGAGGTAACAAAACTGGAATGGATAAATGATATAGTCAAATCTTAAGTATGCCACGAAACATACCCATATGTATGTATGTATGAGAATACAGCGGTCCATATTCTAGAATACACAGTATTCGAACAAAAGGATCTTACATTCATCATTATTACCATTTTCATATTCGTCGGACGCTGGAAGCAAAGTACCTTACGACATTAACCATTCCACTACGACTTTGTTTGCTATTTACTTTCTACTTTTGATTAAGAGCTATTCTCTCGCCAGGAATGTGGGGAGGCTGAATGTGGCATATGTTTACATATGAACGTATATAACTACGTAAACACTCTTAATACAAATTGATGCATGTGCACTACATACATACCTAAAACAAAAAACAGATGTGTTTGTATATACATGTGTATGTGACTTGGTTCAAAAGAGGTCCAATTATTGCATTTCGTCACATATGCAACAAGTGTGTCTGTATTGTCTACTCGCACTCAGGTGTACAAGTATGTATATATTCATCATTTGACGCTCCACTATTTGCTTAGATGGAATTGCCATCATTTGTCAACAGTCAGTTTACTCATCCGTCCATCTATTTGACGATCGTCTCAAAGACGCTATACTTCAATTAGATTCGCATTATAAAGGATGACGTTGACATAAGACCTGCATTCGTAAGTGCATATATATGTATACGAGTATGTCTGTAAATATTTTTTTCTTCCTAGACCTTCTTAGAAAGCCCGATACCACTATTGCGCATCCTTGATTTCCTCTACTTCAGAACTTCAGACCACGTAAAAGAAAGTCCACCTCCACTGCGGATGACCCTCAATATTTAAGAGGGTCCTATTGCCGAACTATACGACATTGGGAAGAACCATTATCAAACTCCATTCAACACGTCGTCGAAATGCCCAATGTAAACAAGACAAAATATTTCATTTTTCGCAAACATTTTTCATGCAATTACGAACTTGTAACAGTTACTTTTATGAAGATTTTTCAAATTCATATCTCATTAATTTAGACAATCTTAAATAGTAAAACTTACAGGCAGAAGCGAGATGTTGTTTCCCAATTGGATTTATGTTTAGAACATGCATTTTTTATATGGCTTCTATTTAAACTACTCTCGATACGAAATATTGAATTTTATCAATTTTTATTTAGAATAAGGATAATTAAAAATTTATTGGTTAAGTGTATATAGTTTATGTAGGTGCATACATATGTATGGTATATACCTCAAGTATTTGAATATTCCAAGACTCTGTTATACATTTTCTTTAAGGTAGTCTTACTGTTATTCATTAACACAAACATTTTGCATTGCTCTATTTCATTTTATTTTTAATTTTATCGAAGTAAACACAAGTGTTTTGTTAAACGAATGCCGCTTACAATTATATATAGGGATATCAGTATGTATTCATTTAGTGAAGTATGATCGAATGAAGTGAAGTACATTATATGTATCGTATGTACGCGTATTAACGTGAGTGCATTTGGGAGATTGAGCCTTCTTTCACTCAATTTTGGTTAGTATGAAATTATAATATTCCTGCGACATACGCCTTTCTAAGAAAGTTAGCAGATTGTGAGAAGTGTTTCCTAATAATTATTATTTTATATAATAACATTACGCTTTGAAATACCTCCTGTATCCTTTTCAATAAAATCGAATATCAGTTCCTTGGTGGGCCTTGTCAAAAAATTTACTAATTAAGAATAGATCCTTTATCCAGTGACGAAATGAGTGATTAAGCCCACATTCCTTTAATTTAGACAGAGAAAAATTGTCTATTTACATGAGGCCATAGGCAATAATGTCTCGTTAGATAACTGATCAAATATCCAATATCCAATCCCACCAAGGTATGCAAAAACAACAACTCAGTTCTCAAAAATTGTTTAACTCTTCAATGGATCCAAAATGAATGAAAATACCTTGAAAGTGAAGCAACAATGTTAAAGTTTGTCCAAACTAAAAACAGTGGAAATTTAAGGTTATGGTTTTAATAATCTTAAATGGCTTTTTTAAGGCTAATGCAAACGTATAAATGTTTTGAATGGACAGCTTCAATACCTATTGTGGCAAAATCTAAAGTGCAAACAAAAGACAAAAGACTATACTTCGTTTTTTACCAATAAGGTATTATTAAAAAATATGTATTAACATGAGTGTTTCCTCTTAGGGGAATAAGAGCCTTTGAATGCATATTAAGGCATTTATCCTGAGACTGTACTATACTCTCGCAAGATAGTCGACCTAGATATCCGGAAACGAGATGACTTCGAAAATGCCTGGTTGTTGTTGTTGTTGTAGCGGCAAAACTCTGCCGAGTTGACAACCCTGGCCGGATAAAAATCCGGGTTCGTTCCAGTTACGTAGACCTGACTGTCGTGGGGACGGTCAAAAAAGCCCTAGTTGTATTACCCGTAATTACGGGAGCAATTTTTATGCTAATCGAACAACAAGAACCATTATATAAAACAAGATTTATTTTTTCACTTTGCGTTGTTACTACAACAACTTTTTATAATGTATGTATGTATTTGTATGAAGAGAATTTATTAAATTTTAGTTTGTGTGTTACTCCACTGTATGTACATATACCTATTAATCGCCAACAACATGCAATGTAGAACGTTCTCCTCAAATTTCAAATTACTACTGCATTATTTAACATCGTCGGGTAATAATATAAATTGTTAACAAATGTTTTTATGTTCTAGCACACATTCAAGTATTCACACAGTTGATATCGTAAGTATTGGCGCATAAGTTTAAATTAGGTCAATATTACATTTGTTTACTAAATACATATCTGAAAGCAATAAAATAACCCATTTACATTTCATGGTAGATATTTTCTTTTATTTTTTTACTGCTCCAAATTAAGCATAGCAATAATACTTCAAAACAATAATTTCACATAATAAATATTCATACTATTTACGAAATGCGGTTTACTTCTCACTCAAATATTAGTGCGTAAATTTTAATGGACGTATTTCGAAGAACTTAGCCACGGCCTCATCAGTTAAGGCTTTGCGCACTTTTTGGTGTTCTTCTACAATGGGACTAACCACTTCAATAGCCAGTTTTTTCAATTCGCCTGTTAGTAACTCTCCCTTTATGTACGCGTTGCGAACTTCCTCCAGCTTAGTGTCGTCTTCTAGGAAAAATTTCAGCAGTTGAAATGCCACATCTACATCAGGATTTCCGCCTAATTTACGGTGTTCCTCAACAGTGACTTGCCCACCAGAAAATGCATATTTATTGATTTTATTTTTTATTTGTTTTGAGGTATCCGTGAGAAATACCGCTGAATTATTATCGCTGGCCGACATTTTCGATTTAGCGCCTTGCAGCGCGGGGAAAAAACTTGAATGCAACAGTGCACATTTTGGAAATCCCAAACGTGGCGCCACATCGCGTGTCATACGAAAATATGGATCTTGATCGATTGCACAAGGTATGAGACAATGTACTGGCTTTTTGCCCTTAAATATAAAAGGAAACGTGCTGGAAAGTGCTGGAGCAGCTTGTACAGCGGGGAAACTGATTTTACCAATTATATCAGAATCACCAAAACCAAAAATGCCTTTCACTTGATTAAACGTCACACATTTTTGTATACGAACCATATTCTGATACATCGCAGGGCATTTACTATTTGTGAAATTTAAAATCTTATTAGAATCGGAAATATTTGTAAGTATATATAATCAAGGTATTTACCCAATGAAATCAAAATCATTAAATATGAATGTTTTTTCCGGATCGAAACCAATAGCTATTATATCTTTAGCATTTTCATATGCCAATTTTATAGATTCCTCGACCTTGAGGTCTTTCCAAAGTGATTTTTCGTCGTCTGTTAATTGTATGACCAACGGAACATCGAATGTTTCTTGCAACCATCTGTGCAGATATTAGTACATTTTTTGTATATCGAAATTTTATCTTATATATGTATTTCCGGAAACGAAAACACTTACTTGGCCATATAAAAAGGTATCAAATGCCCTATATGCAAGGAGCCAGAACTTGGTCCACGTCCTGTATATAGATAAAATG